CTGGTGATGGGGCTCCTTCCCCCAATGTCCCCCTGTGCTTGGTGTTGGGCAGTGCTGCTGCTTCACATCTCCAGGGTGCACTGTCCCCTTCTCCCAGGAACTCACCCCTGGGCACTTTGGCTCTGAGTCATTTTTTCCTGCCTTTCTAGGTCAAAATGGAATTCTTTGAAGGACAAGAAACACAAGAGCAGCTTCAGTTGTGTGGGCCACCTGAAAGGCTTCTCTGGGTCCCCTTGCCCTGTGGTGCAGAGGGGACCAGGGAACCATTCCCCCAGGGTTTGTCCTGGGGACACCTCCCTGCCATTGGGACATGCTGTGACTGGGACCAGTGAGCAGAGGAGGCTGTGGGAAGACCTAGGTCTTCTTCTGATGGCTGGGGTCAACCCCACATTGGAATCTGTAAATGAAAGCTGGAAGTGATGTGCAAGAGGTACTGACACTGCTGAGTATTAAGTTTAATTTGCTGCACAATAAAATAAGTAAAATACAATATGTTGGTGAGAATGACAAGTGTAGAATTAATCTGCCTTGACTTGGCAACCAGAAGAGACATTTGAGTCTGAATGAAACTTCAGGGGCTGTGTTTGTTCTCCAAGGATGTGCTGGCACCTCTGGAAGAGGGTTTATTTGAGCTATGGGGCACTGTTGGCAGCCTGGGAGCTGCAGCCCTCTGAAGACACCCATCCTGCTGCTGGCTGGAGGGTGGCCATGGAGGCTGGCTGGGCTTTGGTTGTGCAGCACTCCTCCCCTAGCATGCCCAATGCTCTTCTTGGAAGGCAATTCCAGCTGCCCCAGTAACATTTGACCCTGTCCTGGCCATCCCACTTAGCAACACACTGAAGGCTGAAAACCATGCCACTGCTTCCTACCTGCATGATACTCATAGTGTTTTAAGATGTAGATACTTTGGAACATGAGGGTAATTACTGGCTCCTGGAGATTACTGTATAATTACACTTAATGGACCTCAAAATAATTACCATGTAACCAGGATTGTGGTTTACAGAGCAGAAATAACTGAGCATTTACACAGCAATGAGCTGCTGCCCAATTACCTGTAATTCTCACCCTCTGTGCCCAGGCATGGCCATTACGTTATGATCTCTCTTGGCCCCTTCTCTCTTACATCTCCTCCACCAGTGCCTGTGCTTGGAAACGACTCTATGGCACCACCTTGGTTTGCCCTCGAGGTGTTTACATAGGAAACCAAACCACGGAGTCTCTCCAAGTTGGTCCTTCCAGGACTCCTAGATTGTATGACTTGTGTCTCAGGGAATACTTATCAGGGAATTGCAAGACAGGGCACAAACCCGGAAGAAAAATATGGAATGAGGTTGTCTTGGGTAGATTTTGTCTCGTGTAGCCCTGACAAGGTCCACACCAGACCTTGTTGCTGGATTCCCTGTGAAGCCCAGGGGATGCTGCAGGCCCTGATCTGGTAGAGCTTGTCTCCCCACACCAGGGGCCATGTCCAGTTACAGAGTGGTGTGGCTGCTGGGATTATGTGTGCAGATTTGAGCAGGTGAATCCTGTAGGACCTGGAAAGGGTTCGTGTAGTCTGATAGTTGCCAGCGCTGGCGATCAGCAGGGGAGGAGCACAGGGCTGGTGATGTGACCACAAGGTCTGCCTGCCTACTGTGTCCACCCTGCAATGTGCTGGTGGGGTCCTAGCACACCTGAAGCTGGTGTGCCTGTCCCCAGGGCCCAGGAGGGGAACAGGAGTGACGTGTCCTCTCCTCACACCAGCTCACATCTGTTAGACACAGGAGCTCTGTGTCTCCCAGAGAGCTCTCTCTGATGCACTTCTTGTCTGGGTGCATCTTTCCACTTTCCAACAAGAAGTGATGTGCCTCAGTCGTCTCTACTTGAGCCCCAATTGATCTGTTTAAGACTAAATAGCCCAACACCTGACTGCTGATAGCCTTGGTCTTGGCTTGTAACTCATTATCAGCTGCATGGGTGCTCTTGGCCAGTGTCTGTAGATGTCATCTGCCAGTTCCATTGTGTCTTGGCTGAGGGCTCTGCTACCTGGGGGGACACAGGGATGTGTTACAGTGCACATCTGTTCTCCACCACTCAGGGTGGCACAGGAGTGGATTTCCAAAGAGAACAAGCAGTGAGGAGTGCAGGCAGGACACTGCTGGGCATTTTCAAAGCATCAGTCAAATCCGATTAACCTCCAGATCACTGCACTGGATGAAATCAGAGGCATTAGCAACTTAAGCTGACTGACAGCCCCAAATCTCTGCACATAAGGTGTGTAATACCTTTAAAAGTCTCACCCTGCAGTGACTCCCTGAGGTTACAGGGAGGTTCCACAGAGTACAGGAAGCTGCAGAGGTCACTCAAGGCTGGGTGTCTGCCTATGCCACTTCCCTTCCTTACACCACAAATGGGCTGGGATGAGCCTGTGTGATGCCAAGGGCCATCCCTGGAGGAGAAGCACTGTGAGCCCTGTCCCCAGGCGACACTCAACCCACCACTGCCATGTCACCAGTGCTGGGGGAGACTGTGCAATGGCACAGGGCTGAGTTTCTCCCCAGTGACACCCAGTGTGTCTGTGAGCTACTGACAGATTGAAAACATTGCTCAACAGAGGAGGCTTTGCTCACCTGGGATTCACTAACAGAACAAGGGATCTTAGATCTGCAACCAGGATTATTTACAAGGAATAATTCATGGTGCTGTAATATTTGCTCCTCTCTTTCTCTCAAAATGCATTTCCTTTCCAGCCCACATCTCTTGCAGGCAGGGCTGCTCTTTCATCAGCAGATGAAGGTTCTGTTTGTACCTCCGTGTGTGTGCAAGTATGTACAGGACTAGTTCTTCCTGGGCGAACACACGCTGTTCCCAGCCCTGGCAGCATCCCGGGGCCTCCCTCCCCTCTGCTCTTGACAGATACAAAGAGCATTCATTGTGTTCAGCAGCTTCTGCTGGGTAAAAGCCCATCTTGGAATGCTGGCAGACACTGGGCTTGTTGGAAAGTGGAAATGCATCCAGGTGTGGTCATGCCACTCCAGCCTGGCTGCCAGCGAACCTGTTCTGCTCAGGAGAGACTGTGCCCCTGCTCACTCCTCTGGAGCAGGGTGCCACTCTGGATCGTATGCCACTCACACTGCCCTGATTTGTCTCCTGTGCTGCCCCTGCCAAGCTCTGCTGATTTTGGGGGTTCGGCTGGTTGGAGGAGGCTGGAAGAAGCTAATATCTGAGATAGTACTCAGATGTCATCTCTTCCCTGCAGTGGGGCCTGTCTCCCTGAAGCTCAGATCCAAACCAGGACAACAAGGTGGCTTCTATCTCCATTCTCCTTCTTTCCTAGAACTTGAGTCAGGCTCTGGTCCCAGCAAGGACCCAGAAACAGCTTCCAAGCTCCACCATGGGAGAGGCTCTGTGTGTTCTTGGCCATGGGGAAGTTTCTGCTCAGTTAGTAAAATTCAGTCCTCAGGTCTTTCCACAGGTACCAGCAGAGCTCCATCCATCCATCCATCCATCCATCCATCCATCCATCCATCCATCCCAGACATTGCTCATCTCCACCTGTCCTCCTTATGGAGAATTTGGCCCAGCCTGTGCAGCTGGTGGTGGTTCTCCAGAGCTTCTTTCCCAGAGTAGGATCAAGGCAGATGGGAAGGATTCTGTGCTTGGTGGGTTGGGAAGATTTTGCTTTTTAACTCCAGTGGCAACACATTTTCACCCACTGAGCACTGAGCATGTCCATGAACTGTCCATTATTCACAAACCCTTTCCTGGGGCTGGTGGATGCGTGGAACTGATGTGCTGTAGCAAATGCCTCCAAGGGTTCTCTTTTCCTCCTGACCTTGTCTAAGGTGCTTGGGCAATGCTTTGCTGATCCCAGCTCCACACCCTGACACTTTCTCACTGCTTCCAGATTTGGGACGATGTGGGAAAAGCTGCAAAAAGCCACTGCACAGTCCCCACTGCACTGCTGTGGCACATGGGCTGGGGGAGGCCAAGGTAGCTGGAGCTCCAGCTCTGGATCTGCCCCAAGGCTTTGTGTGCTGTGTATGGGGTCTCCTGGCTGTGGGGTGCTGCCCACTCTGGCACAAAGTAGCCCCATTGGTAGCATTCCCTGGTGGAAGGATGGAATGCACCATGGCCGTGGCTAAGCCAAGCAACAGGGAAACCTCATAACGAAAACAAGAAGTAGTGAGCCTGGCATAAGGGAGTTTTCCCCATTATCAAGGCCTTTTGGAAGCAAAATCACACAGCCAGGATGTTCCGAGCTGAAGTTCAAGAGCAATGACTATAAATACTCACTTTCCTTAGTTGGGCTCAAACCTGCCAGCTCCAGCACAACAGTGAGAGGAGTCTTGTCTGTTCTTCTAGTTGGAATGAAAACCTCTTAAAGGTCACCCAGTCTGCCCAAGACACAATGAACTGGCTGGCTTGCCATTGTTGTTATTGCTAGAGGGAGCCTATAGCTTCATATTTGGAAGATCTTAACCAACCCTGTTGTTTATTTAGAAATAAAAGTAAATTGACATCAAAGGCAGAGTTATTTTGGGCTCTAACTGCCAGGGTGATTTGAAGCTGACAACATGCAGCCTGGAACTATTAATATCTTCAGTCAGACTAAAAGGAGAAGGAGGGGGGGGAAATAGTCTCAGGTCAATTTTCGGCCTGTTAGGGACTATTAGTGGTTCCACACAGGAAGCCAAAAAAGAAATAAATTATATAGTACTATAAATTCTTCCATAAGCCACAAAACACCACAAATTTGCAGCTAATAAACCTGAAGATGCAGTGAGATTAGGAGCTGGAGAT